GGAGGAGGAGGAGGAAGAGGAGGAGGAGGAGGAGGAGGAGGAGGAGGAGGAGGAGGAGGAGGAGGAGGAGGAGGAGGAGGAGGAGGAGGAGGAGGAGGAGGAGGAGGAGAGGGGGGAGGAGGGGGAGGGGGGCAGCGCAGCCGAATCAGTCAGGCTTGCCCGGGCGCGCCGCGAGGCGCCGTCGCAGCGCCTCGCACCCTCTGGCCCCCGCGCCACCCTCCCGGGCAGGCGGCGCCACTTGAGGAAACGGAGGGAAACACAGCATGGGAAACGGGGGGGGAGGAATGGTGGAGCAAGAAAAGGAGAGATATCGACAAGACGTAGGAAGAGAGATATCGCCAAGACAAGAAAACAAACGCCATAAACATAAGTTTTTGGCGCTCCGCGCGGATTTCGTGGATCCGCGCTGAGCTCCCCAGGCGGCGCCTCCAGCGCCGCCCTTGGCGCGCTCCGCGCGCCAGGGAGGGGGTCCAGCGCAGATCCAAGAAATCCGCGCGGGGCACCAAACGTTTGTGTTTATGCAGTTGTTTCTTCTTCGGGCCCAGTTGGGGCCCCCGATCGCTGAATTCAGAGAGGTAGCAGCGGCTTGCGCGCCAGGGTTTGGCCACCCCGCGTACCCCGTGAAGTCGCGCACCAAAGGTCATTCTTGCTTAGGGCCACTGTTGCGTGTAGCCGTCTCAAGAAGGAGATGGGAGGGGGAACAAGAAAGGGAGGAGGAAGGCGTTGGGTCGGGGTGTTGGGGGGGCGTCAGTACATCGGCCCCATGGCCTTGCGCGTTTTCATTCTCAGGCGCACACAGGGGGAGGGTCCGTGGAGGGTGGTTTTTTCGACTGCAGCCCGCACCCGAGTCCTGCCTGGGCTCGCCAGAGGGTTTGCGTAATAAAAGCGATGCGGTGGCCGTTTTGGAGGTCTGTTGGGCTGTTCTTCCCAACCCTCCTGTGTTGGGTTCTCGTTTAGGATAGGGCACTGTGGTATCCACTCCTTCTTCTCCTCCCCCCTCCGACTGCCTCCCCCTGCAGTGCTCCCTGGGAGGCTGCGAACTGCGCAATTGTCGGCACTTTTGTAGGCTCCTGGGAGGTCCAGCGGAGTGACGGCGTACGCGCATCCAGACGAGACCTCGCGGCTCCCTGAGAAGCTGCGAATTGCGTAACTGTCGCCACTCTCGTGAGCCCCTGGGAGGTCCGGCGAAGTGGAGGTGTACGCGTCTCCAGACGAGACCTCGTGGCTGCTCCATGGGAGGCTGCGAACAGCATAATTGTTGCCACTTTCGTGGGCTCCTGGGAGGTCCAGCGGAGTGGAGGTGTACGCGCCTCCAGACGAGACCTCGCGGCTCCCTGCTGCGAGCTGCGCAATTGTCGCCTTTTTGTAGGCTCTTGGGAGGCACGGCGGAGGTGAGGGCAGCGCAAATCATTTGAGACCTCGCGGCTCCCTGGGTGACTGTGAACTGCGCAACCGTCGCCACTTTCTTGGCTACTGGGAGGCACGGCGGAGTGTAGGACGCCCACATAGCGCGGGCCCACATGGCGCGCGGCGCCGTCGCGTAAGTTTGCGCGCGATGCCTTTGCATCACAGAGCGCCGAGCGCCGGAACGTCACGCGGCGCATGGCGGTGTGCTCAGTGGCCTTCTCATGCGCGTGTGCGCGTCGCGCGTGGCCCGACAGCGTGAGGCGAAACATTTCAGAGAGCTGCATATCTCGCAAGGTGTTATTGTGTACGGAGTGCTCATATAAGTAGTTGGCTTGCGTGAAGAAATGGTTGGGTACGTCTCAGGTAATGGGGGGAAAGCATATTGTGCCGTCTCAGATCCGTCCCGAGTTGTCTTCGAGCTCTCGTGAAGCCGTCCAGGTCTGCCTTGGTAGGCTCTTGTGGCCCTCTCGTATTGTTCTTACCTCATATTAGGCCTCCCTCCAGCCATCGTGAAGAGATAAGGCTTTGATGCTGAGTATTATTCGGTTGTCGTCGTCCTTGTTCTCACCAACTGGTGTGGCGTTCCCGTGTCTTTTTGGGCACGACCCTGTGGCTCAAAGCATCTTGGGGGTGATGGATTGGTTTGCATGGCAATGTTGGTTTGCGGTTGCGTGTTCCTTTAATCTCGCTTCGCTCGGCATGGCCTCTGACACGAATCAAGCGAGTGCCGAAGCAGATCGACTGCAAAGGTGGGAGGACCTCGCGTCGGCTGCAGGTGTTTGCCGCGTGCCGTACGACAGTCTGCAAACGCGAAGCGTCTCGGGACCCTTACGGATTCTCGCAGCACACATCCCAAACATCGTTGCAACGAAACGCACGTCGAAGGAGTTCACAGTGCAGAAGCCTGGGCCTTTCTGGACCAGCAAGCCGTTCGAGAAAGATGCGTTCCATTTTGGGAAGGCTCCCGAAGAGGAAGTCATCGGATACCTTGGAGACGACCGGATATTGATCAATATCTCGCCATGCGGCTATGGGCACGCCTTGTTGGTCCCATCCGAGGCAGCCGGGCTGCCACAGGTGATGACCGAGGCTGCAGTGGGGGCTGCGATGCGCTGGGTCGCAGCTTCGCGTCCGGATTTCCGAGCTTTCTACAACTCGCTCAGCGCATGGTCATCCGTCAACCACCTGCATATTCAGGGGCACTATTTGCGCCCCATCTTCGAGCACGAGGACAGCTATCCGGTGGAGAGGGCGCCACGGCGGCCACTTGGCTCAGGACTTGACTGCACGCTGGAGGAGGCCATTTGGCCTGCCGCCTGCGTAGTGGTGTCGGGCGCAGGGCGAAAAGACGCAGCCTGGAGGGTGATACAGGAGTTACACCGGCTGGATATCCCGCACAACGTTGTCTTCTCTTCTGACTCCATCTTCATTTTCCCGCGGCGCCCTCAGACCTTGTCGTCACTGCCTGGTTTCAGAGAGCCAGCGTTTCATCTGTCAGCCTACGAGCTTAGCGGCCTAGCGCTTGCGGATACGCAGGAGTCCTTCGAAGCTTTGGATGAGGAAGGTTTCAAATCTATACTGATGGAGCTAATACCTGAGGGCTGGCCTCAGTTGCGCTCTGCTTTGACATCAGCCTTTCTGAGAGTCGACAGCGCTGCGTCGGAGTGCAAGGAAACGCCTTTTCGCGCCTGGCATACGTCGGAGGACAAGGGAGAGCATCAGGCTCAGGACGAGCAGGAGGAGGGGTCTGGAGGAGGAGTTTGGGAGGTTCAGACTAGTTGGAGGAGGGTCCTGAGGAGGAATACAGGAGGAGAGGGGGGCCTGGAGGAGGTATCTAGGAGCTTCTGGATGGGGGGACGAACACGAGCAGAAGTGGGTGACGCTTAGGAGGAGGGGGGGTCCGGAGGAGGAACACCAGCAGGAGGCGAGGACGAGGAGGTCGCCCCGCCCCGCCTCACGACCCCAGACGCTTCCCGAGGGTGCCTGGAGGCGCCCCCAGAGGCCCCCCGCCCGGAGGCCCAGAAGGGCACGAGAGCACACGAAGCGAACCCGAGGGCGTCCGAAGACCTCAAATCCCCGAGATCCTGGCGCTGCAAATGTTTCACAGCCGCCGTGTCCGTGCAATTTCGGGCCCCGAGACTTGCACGGATCCATCCGGCTCGAAAAAGGAGGCAGAAAAGTGACGGGGTCCAGGGCTCCAGGCGTGAGGTTTTTTACACGATGCTTCAATTAGGTTTGCAACGTCGGATCTCAGGGAAGACCTGATTCTCGAGTCTGGTGGGCGACACTTGGCATCGGCATCATAAGGAGAGCCGCCTCCCCGACGCCAGTAGGGTGAGGAGAAGGAGGAGGAGGAGGAGGAGGGAGGAAGAGGAGCAGCCAGCATGAGGATGAATGAGTAGGGGAGGGAGGGAAGGAGGGAGGGAGGGAGGGAGGGAGGGATGAGGAGGAGGAGGAGGAGGAAAGGAAAGGATCGAAACAACGACGCGCGCGCACACGAAGGCACATGGATGTAGAAAGAACGCACTACCCGAGCGGTCATGACATGAGGGCATCCTTGCGAATTGGGAGGGCATATTCATGCACGTGGCTGGGCGCGTGCGTCCTTTCTGGGCGGATTGGCCACCTTCGGAGGGTGGTGCTTTCGGACCTGCGGGCGTAGAATGTGTGTGCGTGCGCGCGTGTGTGTGTGTGTGATTGTGTGTGTGTGCGTGTGTGCGTGCGTGTGTGCGCGCGCGTGTGTGTGTGTGTGTGTGTGTGTGTGTGTGTGTGTGTGTGTGTGTGTGTGTGTGTGTGTATGCGTTCGCGTGTGTGCGCGTGTGTGTGCGTGTGTGTGTGTGTGTGTGTGTGTGTGCGTGCGTGTGTGTGCGTGTGTGCGCGCGCGTGTGTGTGTATGTTGCGTGTGTTGTGTGTGTATGCGTTCGCGTGTGTGCGCGCTGTGTGTGTGTGTGTGTGTGTGTGTGCGTGTGTGTGTGCGTGTGTGCGCGCGTGTGTGTGTATGTTTGCGTGTGCGTATGTGTGTGTGCGTTGGTGTGTATGTGTGTGTGGGTGTGCGTGTGTGTGCGTGTGTGCGTGCGTGTGTGTGTGTGTGTTTGTGTGTGTGTGTGTCTGTGTGCGTGTGCGCGTGCGTGCGTGTGTGTGTATATATGTGTGCGTGTGTGCGTGTTTGTGTGTGCGTGTGTGTGGGTGTGGTGTGTGTGTGTGTGCGCGTGTGTGTGTGTGGTTTGTGTGTTTTGGTCGCCCCGGAGGGGAGATGAGCGGGCGCTGGGTCCCCAGGGGGGATCCGACAGTCCTGGCGCGTGCCAGGGAAGGCCGCAAGGATCATAGGCCAGCTGCGTGTGCGCTCCCGAGATCGCGCTGCTCGCCTCCCACCAGGAGGTACGGCAGGCTTGCTCCTCTCGCATCGCTCCTCCTCCTCCTCCTCCTCCTCCTCCTACTACTACTACTCTTCCTCTTCCTCCTCCTCCTCCTCCTCTTCCTCCTCCTCCTCCTATGGATACGTCGTCTCCGCCTCCTCCTCCTCCTCCTCCTCCTCCTCCTCGTCTTCCTCCTCCTCCCCCCCCCCCCGCCGCAACCCTCGAACGCGGCGACAGTTTCGTGTGCCGCAGCCCCCCAGGGATGGGGAGGTCCAGTCTTTGAGCCTGCGCTTGGTGTCCACTACAGTGGAGACCCATGCCAATAAGCACCCTGCTTGCCTCCAGGGTGCCCTGGGTTTCCTGGGTTTCGATGGTTCTGCTATGGAAGGCGTGACGCGCCCACACCAGAAAAATCCACTGACGTACTGGGGTCTCAGGGCTCTTGGTCACTTGTGGAAGGTTTCCTGTGGACTGGCCTCTACTGTGCGCCAGGAACTTTGGATTAGCGTGTCTCTCCGCCAGGCCTGGCCCACCACGCTTCGGCGCGACACGCAACCCCGCGGCCCCCAGGCGTCCACGTGCCGAGCTCTCTGCAAGCCTCCCACCTCGCGACGCGGAGCGACAAGCTATCCGCTTCCAAGGAATAGCGTGTCGCAGGGACCGCCGCCGCGGCACGCTTGCCAGAAGAACCTGACCGTAGTTGCTCCTGTACCGCTGCGCCCATTTTGTATTGATTAGGGTTGAACGCTCGCGCAACCTCCTGAACACGAACGCGATGTTGCGAGTGCAACCTCTTCGACCCCTTCTCCTTCCTTTCCCAGAGCGGCCAGTCGAAGGACACGACATCGGGATACCACCTCCATCGAAGAAGACAAGACTGCGTAAACATAATTTTTCGGAAGCCCCCGCGCATTTCTTGGATCGGCGCTGGGCACCACTGGCGGCGCCTCCAGCGCCGCGCGCGCCAGGAAGGGGGGGCCCAGCGCTGATCCTAGACATACGCGCGGATCTCACATCAAGTTTGCTTGCGCAGTTTTTCATAGCTTGTTTGTTCCTCTGCTCCAATGGCCTCGCCGCCCACGAGGTCGGGAATTGGTGGGCGCGCCGGAACTCGGGCGAGTGGCAATCGGGGGGGGGGTGACCTGAATGTGGGGGGGAAGAAAAGGGCCCTAAAGGGGCCTTTTCGGGCCCATTTTGGGGCCAGCTGGTGCCCAAAATGAAGCCCAGAAGGTGCTCATAAGGGTTCCCCAAAGGGCTTCTTTTTCTTCGCACCCCATGTCAGGGGCAACGATAAGGGGGAATAGGCATAGGGGGGGATGCATCGACCCCCAATCGCCCATTGATCGCCGATAGGGGCCCGATAGCCCCAACCTGCCCAGGAGGGGCCTATCGTCGATCTGTCGGCGATGTTTCGCCGATCCCTATCCCTATCCCTATCCCCCCTATCCCAATCCCACCCATCGTTGCCTCTCACCGTGTGGGCCACCCCCCGTTACCACACGCCCGAGGAACACCTCCTCATCGGCGCTTGGGGTGCCGGGCTGTGGCCCGCTCGCTGGAGTTTGGGCGGCGGCCTGGCGCAAGTGGCGCCCGCTGCGGTCAGGCACGCCTGCCTAGCACGTCGCGCCGCAGGGCTTCGGCCCACCACGCTTCGGCGCGACACGCTAGGCTTAAGTCGGGCGTGTCCGTCTACGGAAGGAGTATCCAAAAATAGTCAACAGCAGTCTGGGGACGATTTTCCACAATTTTGGACCACTTTGGAATATTGTTGTAAGTACTTTGTCATTGTTCTTCCAAGCTCCTCCTGTAGGAGGACATGCCCGACCTAACGCTAGGCCCTAGGCACGCCCCCATTCCCAAGCGTCATCGTTCCAAACTCTGGCGCGAGCCTCCCCACGCGGAGCGGAGCGGCACGCTATCAGCTCGCAGGGCGTCGCGTGTCGCAGGGGCCGCCGCCGCGGCACGCTGATTGAGCGAGAGGTCCAGACCGCAGACCTCTGAAGGGGACGAGCGGCGAGCGGCAGCGGCAGGCAGAAGGGTCCCGCCTCCACTCGGGGGGAGCCGCTGGGAGCCCGTCAGCGGGCTGCTCCGTCGTTTCCCCGTCCGAAGTCCAGGTGCTTCTTCCACGGTGGCCCGCCGGTGTGTCCCCCACGGCGGCGTGCCAGTGATACCGATCTTGCCCCCCCACCCCAGACCCCTTGGAGTCATGTTTTTTTCATGACGGCCGCTTGCGTCATGACAAAAAATCACACGTCGCAAAAAAATCAAGAC